ATTTCACTTTTTACTTAATATTAATTTATTTATAGAATTTATTGTTAATTATAAGCTTATAATATTTAATTTAAATACAATTTGTGTTTTTTTTAGTATGCATGATGTGAAGTAATGAAAGAAATACATAGTAAAAATATATAGAACTAAATATAAATATAAAGAAAATCTATTATTTATTTTTCTAAGATAATTTCTCCTAAGATAATTTTCTTGAGAAAATTTTAAAATTTTGTTATAAGAGTTAAGTGATAAATTTTATAAAATATATTGTAAAATATTAAAAATATTTTTTAATGAAACTTTTCACATTATTAGAAATTTATCATTAATTTTATTTTCAACTAAAACTATGGTTAATTGCATTTGATATGTATATAAATAAATATGTAATTTTAATGAAAAATTCAAAGCAGGCATGAAATATATACACACTATAGCCTAACAAAAGTGTGTTTATAGCATTGAATCTTCGGCCAAGAGACAAGCATATATAGTCAGCCTAAATGTAAAGAATAAACATCTAATAAATGGGTCCAATAAACATGCCCAAAATGGTGTCAGAAATGATCCGGTTATATCAGAATCAACTTCACATCACAAGAATGGCTTTTTAAGTCAAGGCGAATTGGGTGAGCTCTATGTGAGGTACGATATTATTTATTTTGTCTGCTTTGCAGAATAAATCATCATATTTTATCATTTTTTTATCATATTTATCAAATCCAAATAATTACTCAATATTATATTCATGAATAATAAATATATATTAATAGAATTTTTATTTTGTTAGATTGTTAAATTTATTATATATTATTATTTATGTTAATAATTTTGAGTTTAAAATATAAAATAACACATATTTCATATTTCAAGTATAATATTATTCTAATATTAATTTTATTAATTTATGAAAAAAAATATCATTCTGTAAAGCGGGCAAATTTATAGATCTTTTTTTTATTTTTCTTATAAAACAATAATAAAAAATTTAAAATCGTGAGTCATTTTGTAAAAAATTTGATGAATTTTGTATTATATACGACCTTATATAGCACCCTTCCCAATTCAGCCATATAAAAAATAACCATTAACTGATTCGCATTTTATTAATAATAATTTTAATTGTAAAAATTTAGATATATATAAATGTAAATTATAAAAAATTAATAGAATATAAACGGAATATTAATAAAATCTATTAATAGATTATTTGATTTTTTATTGTATCATAATTAATATCAATCACTTGCATGTAATATATATCTCATATTTACCTTATATAAAAATTTTAATATATATACATATACATATATTTTTAATATATATCTCATATTTATGTTGTAGTAAATTTTAATTTTATATAAAAGATTTTTACAATAATTTTATATGTTTTGTGTTTATATAAAATAAACACAAATATACATTATGTTTCAGAATAATATTTTATGATAATATTAATGCATGCATAATTGATAATACTTTTTCTATTGTATTATGATGATAATTTATATGTATAATTTATAAGTAAATTTTATACTTAGGAGTGGTCTTCTAAACTTTTGTGCAGTGGCACTAGCTTTAAATGATTTGGGTTATAAAGCAATTGGTATAAGACTCGACAGTGGCGATTTAGCATATCAAAGTAATTTCGCCAGAGATTTGTTTGAAAGAATTGGTATTAAATATAATATACCTTGGTTTGGGAAATTAACAATCTGTGCATCAAATGACATCAATGAAGAGACCATTCTAAGTTTAAATGAACAGGTAGATAAATACAATATGAAAAAATACAATTTCAGTTTATCATAAATTTTTTTATTTTTATAAAAAATATTGATTTTATAGAATCATAAGATTGATTGTTTTGGAATTGGAACGCATTTGGTAACATGTCAAAAACAACCAGCACTAGGTTGCGTTTATAAAATGGTTGAAATTAATGATCAACCTAGAATAAAAATCAGTCATGATGTTAGTAAAATAACAATACCTGGTAAAAAAGTTGCATTTAGATTATATGGAGCAGATGGATGTGCTTTAATTGATCTCTTACAAAGATCAACAGAAGAAATACCACAAGTAAAACATAAAGTTCTTTGTAGACATCCTTTTCAAGAGTCAAAAAGAGCTTATGTTATTCCAACGCGAGTGGAGCCACTACATAAGGTAAATTAATAAAATATAAATTTCTATAATAAATTTCATAATTTAATTCAATAAAAATTTCATAATTTATAATATTTTTCTATAAATACTTAGGTTTATTGGAAAAATGGTAAATTATGCCAACCTTTACTTACATTACAAGAAATACGAAATAAAGTCCAAGAGTCTTTAAGAACACTTAGAAATGATCACAAGAGAAACCTAAATCCTACACCATATAAAGTGAGTTTTAATACTTTGAATTATAAAATATTTCGTTAAAATTGAAAATTATGATAATTTATACAGGTTGCTGTTAGTGATGATTTGTATAATTTTATACATGATTTATGGTTACAACACGCACCCATTGGTGAACTTTCGTGAAACTGTAAATACATCATTATTATAAGAAAGTAACAAAAAAAAGATCACGTATTTAAATAGCCTATCAACATATTATTCAAAGATTTAAAATTTTATCTGTACAAGTATTTGACTATAATAGTACATATACATTATTTTGATAACTTATAAAAATTGTATTTTGATAACTTGTAAAAATTATTTTATATTCATATAGCTTTACAAGTATAGGATGAATTGTTTGTAGGAAACAAAAGTATAGATTATAAATATGAAAATGTATACAAATGTATAAATGTATACAACAAGTATAGAATGTGTGATAGTATATGTAACTATCATACATATTTAGCTACTTTTGATTTTTAAAAACATAGAAAATGAATAAACATAAATTAATAATGCACAAGTAATTTCATATGTAAATAGGAAACATTGAATGTATATAATAGAAGAAAAATTATAGAATCGGCAATGTAAATTAAGTGTAAATATTCATTAATATGTCTAAAATTTTTTTTTATATATTAATATCATTTATTGATAATATTTTCTATATTTTCTAGTTTAAAAAAGAATTACGAATTTTTTTTATAATGAAAATAAAAGAAATTGAAAAGAGAAAAATAATTTTGTAAAATAAAAATGTATGTACTTACTCAATATAAGTAATTCAATATATATTTATAAGCAATGAAAAAAATTAAAATTTAAAGACGATTTCTCCTTGAAAAAAAATGTACAAAGTTTGAGCATAATAAAAATATAAAATTTTAAAATATATAAAGCTGTACAAAAAAATATAGAGAGAAATCTTTTTAATATGTAATATAAAAAAAAACATTTTAATCATTAAATATATTACGAAATTTTCATTAAATTTTTATTTTTGAAATTACCTATTTCATTCAAGAGAATTTTTATAATTTAATCTTATTTACACAAAAATTTTATTATTTTACATATTAAATATGCTGTCTTTTCAAATTAAAGTTCATGTAAATCAAATATATCAATAAAAAATAAAAATTTTTATAAAAATTTGTTATTTATTAATCGAATTTATTATCTAAAATATTATTATCAATATGATCAATTTTTAAGCGTAAAAAATATGTAATAAAAATTTTTCTTTTTTTTATATTATAGTTATTATACTTATATTCTCAAAAAACTCAATAAAGAATTTAATTATTCCATTTAATCATTTCTATCTTATGGAAGTTAAAATAATATGTTTTATATTTCTTGAGTATTAGTTTCTACAATTTTTAAAATCAATATTCATTTAAGTATTAAATATATTTTATAAACATATAAAAAAATAAAATAATCATATTGTATTAACATTAAATATATTATATCATCGTTATAATAATATCCTTTATTTAAAAGAAAAACAGGTAATCTTTCTAGATAAAATATTTACGATGAAATAGAAGAGGTTATATATGATAAAAATCAAAGAATTACAAATAATAAATTATGATTCGAAAATATTTTACAATATGTGCAATTTAGTTCTTTCTGCAGATATTTATATATATGTATATATATTTATACACATACACACAAATATAAATATATATATATATATACATACATACATTATATATATACATACATATTCCCTTTTTTAGCAAATAACCAATTTATATTGAATTCTATAATTATACATCTTTTTTTAATTTGTGATATTTTTTAATAAACATTAAAAAAACATTAAATATTAAAAATTTTGTTTCATTTTACCACTAAAATTTAAAAAGTAACTAAAAAAATAGATGGGAAAATCGTAATATTTTTCCTTATTTTTTCTATACATTTTACAGGAAAAGAAAAATTGTATTGATACAATTATAATGGATTTATACTAAAAAAAGTAAAGAAGACACTTCGTATTTTATCTTAATCATATATTAAAATTAATTAACTTTAAACTTGTATTATAAAAGATACAACAAAAAATATGAAAGGATTTCCACAAATTATTATAAAAATTTGCCCATTCATTGCATTGTTATATAGTATAATTGTTATTATTTTAACAATATATATTAATGAAAAACTTACTCCAGTTTTCATATTTTTTTGTATTCAAGTATATTTAAATTGGTATTCAATATATGCTATAAGTCAAAATGCAACAATTATGGAAGTTAAAATAATAGGAAAAAAATTATTAATACATAATAAAGCAGAAAATAATGCTGAACATAAATATTGGTATTGTGAAAAATGTATTAATTATACATGCAAACCAACACAACATTGTATTTTTTGTAAAAAGTGTTTCCATTTTCGTGATCATCATTGTTTTTTTTTGGGTGCTTGTATATTAAGGCAAAATATAGGTAATTTCATTTTATTTTGTTTTTATACATCATTAACATGTATATATTCATTATGTATTCTTGGACCATATTTATATGAGAATATTAATCGTGTAATAAGAACAGATACAGATTCTTTTAATATATTTTTGAATTTCTGTTTTCCTATTGCTCTTATCAAATTATTATATTCTAGAGAAAATACTTATATATTACTTGTTACAATATTTGATATATTAGTTTCTATTTTATGTATTTGTTTGATATATGCAACATGGAAATTGCATAGTTGTATGACAGGTAAACAAAAATATGCAAATATATCAGAAAAACAAACTTTGAAAGAAATTTTTGGAAGTTACGGTCTGTCAAATATTATTTTTCCATATAATGGTCTCATAGGAACTAGAGATCTTAATGGGAAATATGAATTGAAGCAAATATAATATAATAAAAACAAATGACTAGAATAGTTAAAATTACCATAAATGATAATAATAATAAATATAACTAAATGAAGAAATTTATTAAGATAATTAAATAAAAAAATATATTTATGCATTTTTCATATAAACAATGTATATACAATAAAATACATTTCTCAATTATGTAAATTATATTATATTGTAATAAATATCATATACATCTAATACATTTACATATTTATACTTCTGTATGAATCATAAATCATTGCACTCTTCATAAATTTTTATACATATAATATTATAATATTTTCCATTACGAGATTCACATATATAATAAAGATTATAACAAAAACAATAAGAAACATTCATTTTATTTGGCCTTTAAAATAATAATAATTTTTTAATACAATTTTTTTGAAAATTATTAATAAAATTATTTTCTTAGAGATATTTAAAAATAATGTGAAAATTTTTTTTACAAACATATAAAATATTAGATATTGATCTGAAGATAATGAAAAGAAATAAATTAATAAAATATTTATATAAATTTTAATTCATTTGTTATAATTGTCATTATTATTATCAAGAAAAATTTTATATTATACTAAAAAATTTATTTTATAATTCTGTATGAATATGATGTTGAGCTTTAAAATCATTAGGATGAATAAATACTCCTTCTGTTGTCATCCATTCAATATGAGGAGAACTAGAGGAATATTCGCCTACCACTTCAGTTTGTCCAGTAATGGGATTACCATAAACTCTTCCACTTACTGCTAAATATCTATAAAATAACAGAATTTTTTAATAATAATTTTTAATTTGTTCCTGCTTTTACAAGCCATTAAGAATTATTAATTATTAAGGAATTTTTTTATACATAATATAAAAATATAGAAAACTCACGTATCTGTATCTACATGTTTCAACATAATTGATTCATCTCTTCTCCAAAATTCAGTTTGACATATTAAAAGCCAATTATCACCATTATCACCTTCCCCTTTATTATCTCCATAAGCAGATATTTCTTGTTTACCACTAAGTGGTGAACTGACACGATGGGAATGTAGATTTTTTTTTGTTGCTATATGTTCTAATCTTATAATATCTCCACATTTAATTGGTATCCTATAATTATTGCATATTATAATTATTATTTAAAAATCAAATATTGAAATGATTAAATATATACCCTCTGGTACATTGTTTTTTTGTTCCTGCTTTTACAAGCCAATAAGAATTTCCATCTTCTTTAGCTGAGGTTCCTGTTACAGATTGTTGACCACTACCACTTCCATATTTTATATCATGAGAATGTAATCTTACTTTATAATTTACATTCATTAATTTTAATGTAGAACCGCATGTCACATGTTGTGTTCCTTTAGCTGTATACATACATACTTTCTTATTTAATTAAATTAAATTAAAAATAAAGTTTCCTTAAAAATGTACAATTAAATTATACAAATTCTTAGAATTATGAATTTTTAGAAATTTTAAAAAATATATTAAAATAATATTTATTAAAATGATTAGTTTTAATAGAAATTCAATTTTTTAATTATTTTAAATGAAAATAGGTTAACTAAATAATTAATGATTTATAAAGTATTCTATAATAATGAAATCTTTTTCAAATGAAAATTTTATAAAATTTTTGAAATATGATAATTTAGTAACTTAATCAAAAAAAAAAAAAAAAATTAATAATATTTCAAAATATATACATTACTATATGTAATTTTGACGTTTCATGAAAATAAATATTATTAATATACCTTTCACAGGACTTGTCCAAAGTAAAAATATTACGAATGAAATCATAAATGAGAAATAAACGAACTTTTCTCTCATTTTTAAAATAATAAAGTATTCGATCTATAGAGAAATAGAAACTGAAAGTTCAATACACGTACATAAATATATCCATGTTCGTGTTAAATTTCTATTGGTGTAACGTATTCAGGGGTTCTCAATTTTTTGGTTCCTGATTATACATTCATTGTTTACTAATGATAATAAATATAGCTGATATTCATTTAATTTAGATAATTTTGAAAATAATAGGAACGTATTAAAATTATTTTATATTCATGTTTATTATGCAAATATTTTATAAAACATTTTTTTATTTTTCTTTCAAAGAATAATAAAGCTACTAGATATTTCATAGAATTATGTAAAATAATTCATATGAAAAAAATTTGTATTATGCTAAAATTGCAACAACATTCTTGGAATCATACTTTATGTTGGAATAATTTGATTAACATTTTATAAAGTTACATTTGAAAAATACAATAAACAGCAATTTAATCTATAAATTTAGAAACTAACTACTTTTTAGGCAAATTTTTTTAATAATAGCACAAATATTTTTTTTCTATTTATATAATAAAAATGTCTTAATTATATTTCCTTTGAATTGATATATATATATATATATACACATAATTTTGATATTATATTAATATATATATACATATATATATATATAAATATATATATATGTATATATATATATAATTATATATATCCCAATATTGTATAACATTTAGCATGAAAAATATTTTGTAAAAGTCATATAATTAATGCATAATGTTCATATTTGATTATTAAATGTTAGGAATGAAGTATCATATGAGCAGCATTTAAATCTGCTTTCTTATTTAAATAATTCTTATTTAATTGTACAAATGTATCAAGGAACTGTCCAAGCATTCTTGAAATACATTGGTATTGTATTTTAATGATTAATAATGAACACACGCCAATTAATACTCAACAACTTTCGGACGGGTTTTAACATAAACGTATGCTGCTATTATAACAAATATTGCAGCAATTGTTGGTAACACAACTGTAAAAACACGTTGTTTATTTTCCAAAAATTCCTTTTTTCTCTCTTTCTTCTGTTTATTTGTTTCTTTTGTTTTTCCCTTTAATTGACGCATCTTCCTGCTACAAATAAAATATGCATATTAATAAAATAATATTGAAATGAATTTATTACACTTTTTCTTTTACATGTTTTAATATAAAAGTGTTACAATTGAAATTATAAAATTATGATAAAATATTAATAAAAAAGTTTTTAAGTGTTCAAAAAATATTATTGATGAAATTTTTTAATATTTATAATTTTCTATCATTTAAGTCAAAATCCTTATGTTACTATTAATATATTATTTAAAATGATTTTTATAAATTTAATATTTATTATTTCTTTGCAAATATTTTTTTATCCTATTGAATTTATTTTTTAAAAATAATAAAGTAAATTAAATATATTTATATTACATATGTTTATGACAGTTTTAAATGTTATTAATATACACGCGCTTTACAATAATAAACCAAAATAATAAACTTGTATTTTATTCTGTTTAAATAAAAATATAAATTTTAATACCTTTAATATGTATATAATTAAGATAATCAAATATTAAAAAACTTCCCAAAAACTCGTTTTTGGAATTCTCAAGCAATAGAGAAAAGATTTGCGTATATGACACGTAATAAAATAACGCTACCCTACCAATCGCAATTCCTGTCACTTCCGTATAGAGGTACTCAATTGAACTACGTTAATCAGTATAGTTAATTCAAACTATATTTTTATCTATAATATATTATTATATATTTTTCACATAATAACATAAAAATATATTTACATTACTTTTATATTATATTTTCATATAAAATTATTATTAATGTTAATATGTTTAAAATTATAATATAATTAACAGGTTGTAATAATATAAAAAATAATAAATAAATATAAGAATCACTGCTGAATGATTGAATATTGATAAATTAAATTAAGAAAATATAATTCGAAAAATTTATATAATAGATTCGTAAATTATATATAATATATTTTTTGTTTTATTTTTTCATACGAAATTATTCAAAAATTGTTAGAAAGTATTTAATAGCTAATTTATTAATTGTGATTAATATTTAAAAATTTTATTTTACTCTTTATTATTAATATTTTAAGTTATTTAATCTATATATTAATGTCTTATTAAATAACTAATTTCTTTTAATAAAAAATTAATCTAAATATTTATTTTTAATTTTATAAAAAAAATAAACTGTAAGTTAGTATTTTGTATATTTGTACTAAAAAATGTATTTAATAAATTAGGGAATTCTAAGAATATACAAGAATATATAAGAATAATTATATTTCAATACATTTTATTATAAAAGTAATTGATTGATATATATATAATTATTATTGAGATATTTTTAAAGATAAGTATACTATATATTTTATTTAAATATAAAATTTCTGAAGGAAATATATGAATTACATGATGAATCATATTATTAAAAAACATTTAATTTTATCTCCGACATTTTATTTTATTTTACAGTTTAAAGTTATAGCTCTAATTGTATAAAACAATATCCATATATTTTTTTTCCATATTAATTTTTTCACAATAATAATATTATATATTCTATATATAACAAGTATTATTTTAATATTTTTTAATATTATTAAATATTTCTAATATTAATAATAATATTAATAATAATATTCTGTTTGTTGACAATGTTTTTCATTAATTATATTATTTTGTTACCAATTATCTTTGTAATATTTTAAAATTTTGTTTTTAATTTTATTAAATAAATTACTGAAATATAACTTTATTTTAAGGAATATTTAGATTTTTTATTAGTTGGTAATGTATTTGAAATAATAAATATATAGAATATAAAATATAAAATATAAATATATAGAATATAAAAACTAAAGTATTATTAAAATAATCATATATATATATTTCAAATTAAAATTATTGTATAAAATATTCATAATTTTTTTTATTGTACAATTTAATTATTCTCTTGAATATTTTTCATTAGGATTACTTTCCATAATGTCTTGTTTCCATACATATTCTAAGCTATATCCATTTTTAGGCACACATGACTTTATACATGTAAATATTGCTAAAATACCCCAATCAATACAATTTAATGTATTTTCAAAGTCTAAGAAATTTAATAATTGAGGCATAATCTATAAAGAATAATCTTATTAGTTATATCAAAATTTTTATACTACAACAATTTTTATATTGTAAAAATAAAATTTTTTTTATTTCACCTGAAATTCAAATTGTCTTTCTCCATTACATTCTGAACATTTTGGTACTTCATTAATTTTACTAGATCCTGAAATGTATAAAATATTGCCTCCTCTATCATATCTATAAATAGATAAAATTTATTATATATAAATAATGTAATAATCAAGAAATATAAAACAAGGAAAATAAATAATATGAAAACCTTAATATTTGATCTGGATATTTTTTAATAGTTGAAAGAAATTTAGAAAATGTTTCATCTTCCTGTTGATTAGCCATATTCATCAATTCATTTTGTACATCTTCATTTTGAAAAATTCCTGCTTCATTTTTTTGTACCATTGTTTCATATTTTTTAATTTCTTCTTCTTCTTTAATCAAATCATTTGAATTATGTGCATCTTCTTTATCTTCTCTTTCTATAACTATTTCATATTCAGGAAATAAGAATTTATTTATTCTTACTATTTTTTGATTACCATCACAAATCTCTTTATGCCCATGTTTCCAATCATAAATTTGATGAGCTCGACAACAATAATTTACAATTTTACATTTAGAACAATGATTAGGTGCTAATATTCCACAAGTATAACATGTTTTTATCCATTTATTTGTACCTAAAATCACTTTCAATCATTTAAAATTGTTATAATAATCATTAAATAATCATTAATAAAATTTATTAAAGTAATTGTTTTTAACATACATACTAATGTCAATTCTCCAGTTACTTTGTTCTATTGGAGGTTCAGGTGAATAAAATTCATTTATTCTTGGTAATTGAGAACGGAATACTTTTAAATTTCCATTTTTATTTAATTTACAACATTCCATTTTTTTGCATATAAAAATAAAAATTGTTCGATGAAAAGCATATTCGTTATCTTCATATGGTGCATAAATTTGACATAAAAAAATACAAGGTTCTTTACAATATTCACAATGAAAATCTTTTTCTCCAGGTATATCTCTTAAATTAAGCCAAGCTGGTTTACCACCGACTTTACTTGGAAAAAATCTACTTTCTACTTGCCAAGATTCACACTTTTCCACAAAACCTAAATCCAATGTCATTTTATAGAGATTTAAGATTTATTTAATTTATTGAAAATATTTATAAATATTTATTTTGATGATAGTTTAAATACATATTATGACCATGTGCTAATTTATTCTATCTTTTTATTTTTTTACATATCATGTAACTTAAGAAAATGTTACTAGAATTATAACACTATATAAAAAAGAAAAAAATCATATTTTTATTATACTTTGTAACAATATGATTTTATTTAAAAAAAATTACATATAAAAATACTTTATAAGATAGAATACTTTATAATATCACGATGAATATAATAGGAAAAATTCTTAATATTAAAGGAAGTTTACAATCTCAAGAATAATTTTCGTGAATTGTAGTTTTTCCATAGTTGATATATATATATATATATATTTGTGTGATGATATTGGTGATTGATACTTGTTATTTAGGTTACCTGTTTAATCGTAACATTAGATTTCTGAGTTATTTTATTGTGAATTTTGAGAAATGACATCTTTTTTGGAAAGTTTACAATCTTCAACATGCGTATGGTTCGAAATAGGCAACAAACGAAATGTATTGGTGTCTATGTTCGCCGGAACATTGGTAAATATTGAAGTTTATATTATTCTAAATGAAACTGACAGTACAATATATTTTTAATTTAATTATTTCTAAAACATATCAATTTTTATTATTTATTTGTAATAATATTATTTTTATATAATTTTTATTAAATAAGTACACTTTAATGTAATAATTAAAATAATTAAAATAATTAAAATATATGTCTTTTTCTTATTATAATTTTATTTGTCTTTACAAATGATTTATTATAAAATAATTATTTTTTTTTTTTGCAATTTCAGTTTTTTGTAGGATGGTGGTTTATTATTGATGCTCATGCGAAATATCCTAATGAAATGGCGAAGGCATATCATGTATGTGGAATATTTGGAACTATATCTTTATTTATGTAAGAAAATGTTCATGTTTATCATAATATTTCTGACAATAATATGCAATAATTGAAAATAATTATTTAATTTAGGATAAATTCTGTAACGAATGCACAAATGAGAGGTGATGCACTTAATGGTGGTTATCTTGGAGCTAGAGGTGCAAGAGGTTGGTTATTTGTTGGATTTGTAATGGGATTTGCTGCAGTTATTGCAGCTTGTTGGATTTTATTTGCAGATTTTGTAGCTATAGGTTTGTATATTATTTATAATTATAATTAATTATAATATACATCATTTATGATTAATAAAAATATGATTATCATCTTAATATTATTAATTTAATTTTTTAGGAGCTCAACATCATTGGCCTGGTGTAGGTCTCTTTTTACAAAATGTATTTATTTTTTTGGGATCTCTTACTTATAAATTTGGACGATCAGAAGAACTATGAGATTAATCAACATTTGTACATTACAAGCGTTTTTACATATTTGTGCATAAGTTTTTTGTTCTATTTTATTTTCAAATAGAACACTTATTGAGGAACAAATACTTACACACATTGTACTGTGAATTATATTAGTTCATTATAAAATTGTAAACTCTTTTTGTTTTTATTTATTTACATATAAGTAGTTATTTAAATGTTAAACTCATATTAATCATTCATAGCAAATTATTTCTAAATAATTATTGTGTATAAATATTATACTATTATAAAGAGATAATTTGCTTAATAAAATAACAATTTTTTTATAATAGTTTTTTATTATAAAATTTAAGATAAATAGAGCTAAAATTTAAGAGTTTTGTTTTTAATAAATATTCACATATAAATATCACTTTTATTGCAAATACTAATATAATTAATAATGTATTTACTTGTAACAAATTTTGCATTTATTGATGTAATATTAAATGACTGAAAATTAAATATATTTTAATTGATTAAATAAATTGTAATTACATTTATTTATTAATTTTTGTTTATCATTTATTTCTATTTTTTTATTACTAAAAATTAAAATGAAAATATTATTACTAAAATTAAAATAAAAATAAAAGTGATTATTTAATATAGTAAATATATTTTAGTTATTAGAATTAATAATCATAGAAAATAAAATAAAGCATCTTTTTGTGTAATTTTGATTCTTTGAAATTATCTATATTGTAATAAAGTGGGGATGGAATAGCGGTTTATTCGTTTTGATTTGCCAGCGCGGACCAATATAATCGTTTTCTTCCATCTTATTTTACCAATCCCGTTGTGCCACACAAACACATGCTTCTTGTTCAGTTTGATGAAAAAGGTGTACGTTATTTTTCTTGCTTTAAACAAATTGGAACGTACGTATACCTATGTCTAATGGTTTAAGAACAGTAGTTCTTTTGTCGTCAGACTAATATTTTTAAAAAAAGACGAAAAAGTGAGTAAAGTTCTTTGAAATTTTTTTTAAATTTCTGGTTACCATAACCAAATTTGACAGTTTTGCAGAAGTCTCGTGTAATTGAAATTTATCTTTCACATAATTATGTTTTACACGAAGATTTATATATAATTTTCTTATAAATTGTTTTATAGATTTCTTTTTATTTATAATATTTGCAGTAATTTCATGTTTATTATATTTATTTCAAAATTTCTTTAGATACTGTACTATTCAATATTATAATTTGAGTTTCTTTATAGAAAATTTAATTTTTCTTATTAAATGAACTTATGTTCTTTTGTTTAAAATTTTTTTAATTATGAAAAATATTTATTAAATATTATTTTTTTATTATTTAACATTTAAAAACATTGAGTTAAGATATTTAATAAATATCTTAAAAATTAAATTTAAATATAACATATATTTTTATATGTCGTAAATTATAGATGAAACCAAGTGGAATAAATATGTCCATTATTTGGTTATTATTGATTACTATTGTAACTTTTATTGACCATAGCAATGGCATTGCTGTTATGAGTATTGATATAGGTAGTGAATCAATGAAAGTTGCTATTGTTTCAGTAAGTAAACTTTATTTTATTATTAAACTATTAATGTATTTTATTATTCATAAATTTTATTAATATTATTTATTAATGATTTATGTAGCCTGGTGTTCCTATGGAAATAGCTTTGAATAAGGAATCAAAGAGAAAAACACCAGTTACAATTGCATTTAGAAATGGAGAAAGAAGTTTTGGAGAAGATGCTCAAATAGTGGGAATTAGATCACCCCAAAATAGTTTTTCTTATATTCTAGATCTTTTAGGAAAATATATAGATAATCCTATAGTAGAACTTTATAAAAAAAGATTTCCATATTATGATATTATATCTGATGAAGAACGTAAAACAATTACATTTAGGCTAGATGAGAATACTACATATACTCCAGAAGAATTACTTGCACAAATTTTGCATAAAGGAAAAGAATTTGCAGAAAATTCAGCTGGTCAAAAGATAAGTGAAGCAGTAATAACTGTTCCAGGATTTTTCAATCAAATTGAAAGGACAGCTCTTATGCAAGCTGCAGATCTTGCAGGAATTAAAGTGTTACAACTTATTAATGATTACACTGCAGTTGCATTAAATTATGGAATTTTTCGCAGTAAAGAAATAAATGACACCGCACATTATGTAATGTTCTATGATATGGGAGCTAGCAGTACAACTGCAACAATTGTCAGTTATCAAAATGTGAAAACGAAGGAAAAGGGATTTATTGAAACTAATCCACATGTTACCATTTTGGGTGTGGGTTATGATCGTACTTTAGGAGGATTAGAAGTGCAAATTAGATTACAACATTATTTAGCAAAGGAATTTGATGCATTAAATAAAACAAAAAATTCTGTATTTAGCAATGTAAGAGCAATGGCAAAACTTTTTAAAGAAGCTGGTCGTGTTAAGAATGTATTAAGTGCAAATACAGATCATTTTGCCCAAATTGAAGGATTAATAGATGAAGTTGACTTTAGATTACAAGTTACCAGAGAAAAATTAGAACATCTTTGTACTGATTTATTCGAGCGAGTAGCAAATCCTATTAAAATTGCTTTAAAAACATCAGGTATATTGAAATAAATTAATAAATAAAACATCAGGTATATTGAAATGTATTAAATTAAAATATATTTATTATATCATAAATTAATGTAAATTTTATAGGTTTAACAATGGATGCTATATCTCAAGTTGTATTAGTGGGAGCTGCTACTAGAATGCCAAAGATACAAGAACATTTAAGTCAATATTTAACAATTGAGTTGTCTAAAAACATTAATACAGATGAAGCAGCTGTATTAGGAGCAGTATATAAAGCTGCAGATCTTAGTAAAGGATTTAAAGTAAAAAAATTTGTTACTAAAGATGCTGTATTGTTTCCCATTCATATTGTTTTTGATAGAACAGTTAATAATAGAATAAAACAAGTAAGATTTTATTTTTATGTATTTGTATATATTGTATATATTATATTGTATATATTATATTATATATATTGTTATTCTTTTTTCTTTTTTTTACTATTTCTTAAAATTTTTTATCAAAATTGAATATTATACAAAAAATTATATTTTTAGGTAAAAAAATCATTATTTAATAAAATGAATCCTTACCCACAGAAGAAAATTATTACATTTAATAAGTATACAGAAAATTTTCAATTTCATATTAATTATGCCGAATTAGACTATTTACCATTTAATGAAATAGCGTATGTATATTTAATAGTTATTTTTTAAAATATATTTATGTTTATTTATTATAGTGTCTTAATTTTAGTGCTATAGGTAATTTCAATCTATCTACAATAACTTTATCTGGTATTACTGAAGCTTTAGATAAACATCTTAAAGATGGAGCAGAAAGTAAAGGCATTAAAGCACATTTTGCTATGGATGAAAGTGGCATATTGAATTTGGTGAATGTAGAATTAGTATCGGAAAAATCAAGTTTAGCTCCTGATGAAGAAGAGAGTACTTTTTCAATACTTGGTTCAACTATTAGTAAACTTTTTGCAGGTTTGCGTAGAATGCATTGCAAAAAATGCTACTATTTACTAATTTATAATAATTGCTATTAGTATTTATTTTATAATAATTGTTTTTTTTTGTTAAATATATAAGAATTCAGCAATTTAGAACTTTACTTGGAAAAATGAATCATTAGAATAATTTTTTTTAAATGTATAACCATTTTTTGCAAGCATTTGTAAAGTATTTTAAATGACATAAAAGAAACATAAAATATATTTTAAAAATAAATTTAAATCAGTTTTATCAGTTATAACTTTTTTTACAAAATTACGCAAAACAAGTATAATTATATTTTATATAATTTTATTTTATTAATTTTTTTGTAAATATAAATGAAATATTAAAATAAATATATTTAAAAAATGTAGGATTAGAAGACAAAGAAGGAAAATCAGAAGAACCATCAAAAGAAGATATAAAACCAGTTCATGAAGAATCTGAATATTCTGAATTACAAAAGGAGACAGAAGATAAAATGAAAAAGAAAAATGATAGTATAGTTACAGAAGATAATAAAATAGTAAATAAAACTGAAAAAATAGAAAAAGAGAAAGAAAAAAAGGCTACAATTGTAACAATTAAAGATCCTATTAAAGCTGATGAAATCAAGTTAGGATCAAAAATTCTTTCTGGAGATAAACTTGTTGAATCTCAAGCAAAGTGAGTATAAATAACTGCATAATAATTTTATGTAGAATATGTTCTACATATTTTCTATTAATCATTAACTTAAATATCATATGATCATTTTAGATTGCATCGTTTGGATGTATATGATTTCGAAAAAACAAAACGTGAAACAGCTTTGAATAATTTAGAAACATTTATAATTGATGCTCAACAAAAATTAGAATCCGAAGAATATGCTACCGTTGCTACATCTCAAGAAGCAGAAAGCATATTGAAAGCATGTTCTGAAATTTCTGAATGGCTATATGAAGATGGATTCAGTGTAACTGCTGAAATATATGAAGAAAAACTATCATATCTTCAGAAACTTACTAATGATGTATACGAACGTGTTTATGAACACAGAGAACGCCCAGAAGCATTAAAAGGCATGACATCTATGTTAAATGCAAGCACAACATTTTTAAATAATATGCGCAATTTGAGTTTATCTAATGAAATTTTTACTCAAATTGAAATAGAAACATTAGAGAAAGTAATTAATGAAACTCAGGTAAATTATTTTATTATAATTTAAAATATTTATAAATAATTATTATATTGTTATATATATAAATGTATAATTATTTTCATAGGAATATTACGATACAATTGTTAAATCTTTTACTGAGACAGCTTTATATGAACCTGTGAAATATAAAGTTCGTGATATTGTAAATAAAATGGCATTACTTGATAGGGAAGTGAATTATCTTATTAATAAAGCAAAAATATGGAGACCAAAACAAGAATCTACTACAAATCATACAGAGAACATAAATGAAACTACAACAAATTCAAAAGAAGGGCCAGAATCAGATTCTAAGCCTGAATCTCAGACAGAAAACCTTCAAAATGAAAATCCTAAAAATGCAGAAGTACAAAATGAAAAGTCATTAGATTCAGAAAAATCCACGGAATCAAATAATGAACCTAAGATTGTTCATAAAAGTACTCAAGAAGAAATACATCAAGAACTTTAAAAAAAGATTTATCTAAAAGTGTGTGATTTTTATTATTGACCGATAGTATTTCGGTTATTTATATAATAAGTTAAACAATTTGTTATGCTATAGGACAGATTTATGAATGCATTTAGAAATCTAAATCAAATTCGAAAAATTGTGTGTCATTTTGGCTAGATGAATTATTTTGCAAATCTGAATATTATGTTATTTTATTCAATTTTATATATTTGTATAAAATTAATAAGAAATATTTAATTCATTTTTCATACAAAAAAATAAGAGTATTATTTCATGATGTTTTGCATATAAAAGAAAAAAAAAAAACCGACCATCATATAAAAAAATCATTTTTTAAGTGCCAAGTAGTAAATTTGAACATAATAGTTTTAAACAATTATTATCAAATACATTTATTAAATGAATAAATTATGAAGTCATTATTTAACAAATGATACATATACATCATTATTTGGTCGGATTTATCTACTATGAATATAATGTTTAATTGTGATACTTTTCATATTTTATTCTTAGATATGCTCTATGCTATAATTTAAAGCTGATTTTCTATATTTACATCAAGCATTATAATTACACATGCATACATATGAAACAATTTTTCTAAAAAAACACATTTTTATTTTTATTTTTTTAAAAAAATTTCACAGTCATTATTTTTTACATTCCTAATTAATTAATCCTAGCCATAAAAAACGCCTAACTTTACAGCATCTTATACACATATGATACATGCACGCGCCTCACTGCATTTATAATATAATTTTTTATAATTACATATTTAATTATATGATTAAATACATGTAATTTGATATGTCATGAATTATATTAAGTGAGGTGAATCCATATCTAATGTTGTTTGTTTAAAAAAAATGCATTTTTTATACATTTAATATGCAATTTGCATTTTATATACAAAATAATTTTTTTCTCTTAAAAATTTCTCTAAATTAATTAAATGCAAATGAATCTAATTTATATAAATTATTGTTTTGGGCGAATAAAACAATGTGTAGGATATTAATGAACAAAAGAATAAAAAAAATTGATGTTATTTTATTAGCACATTTTATATTAAATTTAATAATTGTAAAAAAATATAGATATGCAAAGTCTTCCTGCAATTATATGCAATATCAAATAACATAATTTATAATTATTTATTTATTTTTATATAACATGAAAATAATTATTATTGATATGTGATTTATTTTTTTTTATTTTTATTCCTTAATACATTAAAAAATATTCGATATTTTAAATTTTGTGAAATTTAAGATTAAACATTATATTATATATGTAAATGTAATAAACTTACATTATTTAATATTTATAACAATTAAAATAAAAAATTTTAAAATATTTTATTCAATATTATTATTACTATATTTTGAAAAAGGAAATAAAAATTTATTATTAATTTTTAGATGTGATTATAGAAATATACTAATAATTCAAAAGGATCATATAGTTTAAAAGCTACATTTGATTTCGTGTTGTGTCGCTAGATCGTTCCACAATCGCGAGAAAATAGTACAAAAACGTTCACAAGTAAATACAAGTTGTTTTGGTATATTAACTTCTTCATTTTTTAATGCATTTTGATATATAAAAATAAAATATCTTACAATATTGAATATGTAAATCAAAAATTAATTTTTTGTGATTTATTAATCGCTTTTTGATTTGTGTTGTTCAGAATAATTATGAAACATGCAACTTAACCCCGTTTTTAATGATTTTATTTAAAAAAATGAATAATTTTGATTTTTAGCTTCCAAAATTAATTTTTTCTAGGGACGTTTATTTATTAAAAATCATGTCGTTACGTCAATTTTTTCAATTATTATTGAAAAGAGTTGGACCTATTCTGGTAACATTCTGAATGTTATTTAATAAGTAATTTTGGAAATTTTTTTATATTTTATCTTTTTAAATACTTTTTTCTATTGTTTAGTATGCTACAAGTTCTACATATATAAATCAGCCAGAAACTAACAAACCAACAGCAGATGATAAATTACAATTTGAACCAATTGATATAAAAAAATTAACTCCTGAATATATGATTCAACAATCAACCATAGATGCTGTTAATAGTGCAACGCAATCACTAACTGTTGCATATACAGCAATAATGAAAGCAAGTAATGAATATAAGTATGTCTCGTAAAAATTGAAGAACTGTTTAATAGATATATGATAATAAAACTTTATCATATCATCAAAATTATATAAAAATATTTTTTAGGGTATTATTAAACGAATTAATTTCTCTTTCAAGAGAAACTTTAGAGTTAAATGTTAATGATACACATTGGGATATGATAGTTGAACTGAGATCAAAAGTACAAAGTAAAAAAGAAATCTTAACTGTAAGAAGAAATAAAATAAATTTATATTAGTTTTATTAGATCTATTAAAAAATATGTTTAATATATTTTTGTAGAAGTTGACAGGATATATTGAATATGTACACAAAATGGCAGTAGCTGTTTCAGAAATAAGTTATTTGTCTGGAATGGATAATTTATCTTTCACTCTTACTCAAAGAATAGATGATGCATTAAGAAACATAAAAAAAGAAATTAACCATATTATGGTACTTGAACAAGAATATTGTAATGTGCAAAAAGAATGCATTAAAAATTGTAAGTATAATGGAATTAATGATAATAGATAAGTTAATTCTTTTTAATTTTATTTTATTTTTTTTATAGCTAATAAAACAGATACCAAGTCTGCAGATAAAGTAAAAATTAATGAATTAACTTAATGTAGTAAAATATTTTTTGTTTATAATTTAAAATTTATGTTTAAGATTTTATACAATAAACAGAAATAATATGTTAAAAATAAATTACTTATATATTTCATTTTTTTGAAATATAGTTCATATTATTATGTATATAAATTTTAAAAAATACAGAAATAAAATTATATAATTCAGAAAGAAAATGAAAGAAATGAAAGAATTTCTATATAGTTAGTTTCAAACAAAACAAACACAGTTGCTCAAGCATCAAGATGTATTGTTACAATATGTCTACCAGGTATCATTACTAAACCAAGAGTTCTTGCTTCTGTGTGGTCCTCTGATAGAAATTCTGAACATGATCCTAAAATCACATTGGCATCACGATCAGTACATAAGAATGCACCTATTAAAACACGGCCATCTGTCATTTTTATTCTTAAATTTCGATTTAGCCATCCACGCAATTTCTGCTTTGCTGGAGATTCCTCTGTATTAACCGTATTTACAGCCTATTACAATTACATGAGTAAACTTATGCTAATCTAAAATGCTCTGTTATAATTCAAATTATATATTTGTACAAATATATTTTTATATAAATATTTTATAAATATTTACGTTTTAACTATATTTTTATTATATTATGATTTATTTTTTATTTATATCAAACAATATTAAATATTGTATATAAAATACATATATAAATTATATATAAATAATATATAAATTACAATATAATTTTTTGAATTAAAAAATATAATGAAATTATAAAAGTGTAAAATCACACTATTGAAATAAAATTTCAAATATAGTTAAAAGGTTAAATATTTTTCTATTGAACACGCACTTAACCTCTTACATAAAGTGTATTTTCCAATAATACTATGAAAATATTTTCAATAAGAATAATACTAAAATATTATATAAAATATATAATGTTATAAAATTACCTCTCCATTTTCATGAATATAATCATCTTTTATATTGGACACGTTGTGTCCTTCTTTCATGTCTGTTTTGTTGATGTTTAAATATCGTTTTAAATAAAAAAAATATTAATTTAATTTATCACTATATGCACTTTATGAAATTGTTCTTAACTGTTCTTAAAATATATATTTTTGTAAATTTCATAAAAGTACATTTACAATTTAAATTAATCTGAGGATAATTTTTTCGCAATGTAAACAGTTCACTTTAAATTAATACCACAGACGAAATGTAGAATAGATTTCTTATGTAATGCTTTTTTTTATCACAGAAATTAAGGAATCATTTATAATTTTTAGTCATCTTTACTTTATATATATAAAATTTTGTATATTATAAATGAAACCAAACTTCAACTGATATAATTTTTAGCATCTGAATATTTATATATAAACTATACAAACATATTACATATATATATATCTATATTAATTTTATACATATAAAAATATATATATAAAAATATATATAAAATATTTATAATATTTTCATATATATTTTTGTAATTTTATATATTACATATATTTTTAGTTTCTTTTTTCTTTTTCTAAAAAATTCTAAAAAATATATATAGATTTGTATATAAATTTATTTATGATATTTCTCAAACAAATATTTTTAAACATAAAATTGCGGCTATTTCTTCTTTTTCTTGTTATTAATGGAATACATTAATATATTATATTAATAAAAAATGTAATGTATTATAATTTTACAGATAGACTTTAAAACTTCAATTTGTTAATAGAAATATTGAATGTGCAAAGAATTCAGAATATTATAGACAAAGAAAACAATATATAATAGATATAGAATAAAAATTAGAATATCATTTGTAAAATGCTGCAAATGAAATTAAGTTTTTTTTAAAGAAGTTTTTTCTAAAGAATTAAAATTTAATCATATAAATTTTATTATTATTATATGATTTATGTATTTATTATTATATGACTTTTTAAAAATTTAATAATTTATATTCAAATATATATAAATCAATTCATCAAAATCCTTATATAATAATTGGCAAATGATTTAAATCAATATATAATTTTTTTGATATATTCATTTTTTCTTTCTTATGTTTTTTTTATTTTTTCTTTAATTCTCATTTATTTTTTTATTTTTTTTTCTTGTTCATTTTTTAGCTTCTATTTTTTGTAGTTTTTGGAAATGTTAATCATTTAATTATTGAAATAAATAATGAAAGTTTTCAATTTTATGTTATTTTGTTTTAAATAAGGTAAAATAAGATTATTTTTGATGAAGATATTGTCATTAGACTATATTGATATTCAAGGTATAATGATTTATCATATTGATTTCATATATTGATTTTCAAGGTATAATGTATTTTAATTTTAGATTTTTAATATTAAGATCTAGACTAACATATTTTAAAATCTCATTATTAGATAATATTGGAAAATGGATACAAATATTTTTATTTATATTTAGTTTTTATTTTAGTTTTTTATTTTGTTAATTTTTTGTTTTAAATTCTTTCATCAATTTAATTTTATGTTTCAGTTTTTTTAATTTGAATTATTTTTATATTAAATTAATTATAATAATTTATTCTTATTATATAATTTTTAATTGGAATATTTTTATAAAACGCATTTCAATATACGATAAATATGTTAAAATAAACTTTTTGTTATAATATATAAAAATTTACAATTATAATACAATATATAATATTTCAATTTTCGCGCGGTTGAAATGAATAAAAAACTGTATCGTTCTATCCAATCAGAAAGTTGCTAAGATTTAACAGCGAGACGAATCAACGTGCACATCATACTACGCACATCATCAGTTTACAGTTGAAAGTTATAGTGACAGGTAGCATTTTGTTACATTTTACTGAAAGATACGTAATTACATAAAATTTTTATTAATTAATTTTATTAATAGAATATTGTATTACGATTATTAAATTTAATTATATATTAATAAATTTAATTTGTTCTAATAATATGTATTTGTTTAATCATTATCGAAATTAAATGTCTTTGCAACATATTATTGTTTTGATTGGAACTTCGAAAGTAATATTCGAGTTTGATAGTTTTTGTACACATTATAATAATTAAAAAATAATCGATTTTTATGCAAATATCATAAGATTTTATTTATTTTAATAGAAAAATGATTATTATATTTTTTATTTATAAACATGTAGAAGTTAAATCATTATAATCAATTCATACATATATATTTTCATATATATATTTTTCCTAAATGTATCTGTCCATAAGTTTAATTCATATATTATTTCTATATTTATTTTTATTTTATTTTATAGGATTCTAGGGCTGAAAATATTTCTTATAATTCAAC